GTATGTCATTCTATATTACTTGATAGATTAAAGAGTTGGTTGGGTATCTCTGGTATTGTGTTTGAATGGTTCAGATCCTACCTTACAAATAGATCACAGTTTGTTGCTCTGGGAAATAATAAATCAGATATTGGTCAGGTCCAATATGGTGTCCCTCAGGGTTCTGTTTTGGGGCCCATATTATTTAGCATTTATTTGCTTCCTTTAGGGCAAATTATTAAAAAACATGGTCTTGGGTATCACTTTTATGCTGATGATACCCAAATATACATCAGTTCAAAGTCCGATGTTACAGTTTGTTCTGCAATCCTTTCTGAATGTTTGCAGGACATAAAAGTTTGGATGCTCCACAACTTTCTAAGATTAAATAGCTCTAAGACTGAGGCTCTTCTTATTGGTACACCAGTAGCCATTCGCAAATGTAGCAGTCTTAATCTGACATTGGATAACAGCTCTGTACAGCCGTCTATACAAGCTCGTAACCTTGGTGTGATATTTGATGTTAATTTGACAATGGAGGCTCACATTAGGAGTGTTACTAAATCAGCATTTTATCATCTCAGAAATATTGCTAGGATTAGGCCTTTCCTTTCTACACCTGACATTGAAAGGCTCACCCATGCTTTTATCACTTCAAGAATCGATTACTGCAATTCTCTCTACATTGGCTTATCAGCAAAATCTATCAAACGGATACAATATATTCAGAACTCAGCAGCACGTGTTCTCACTCACACAGCCTCACGGCAGCACATCAGTGGTGTCCTCTGTAATTTGCACTGGCTTCCAGTTCAATCGCGTATTGAGTTTAAAACGCTTGTTTTAACCTATAAAGCTGCGTAGGAATTGGCTCCTTCTTATGTTTGTGATTTAGTTACCCCCTACATGCCTTCTCACCCTCTTCGTTCTGCTGATTCTCTTCTTCTCTATCAGCCCCACTTCAGATTAAAAACTATGGGACAGAGAGCTTTCTCTCGTGCTGCTCCGAGGTTATGGAATGCGCTTCCTTTAAACATTCGAAGTGCTCCTACACTAAGCACTTTTGAGAAACTGTTGAAAACCCACTTTTTTAAAATTCTCTATTATGATTAAGTTGTATTTACATGTGACATTGTTGTAGCGCTTTGGGTTGAGAAAAGCACATTATAGTGTGTGTGTGTGTGTGTGTGTGTGAGTGTGAGTGTGAGTGTGAGTGTGTGTGTGTGTGTGTGTGTGTGTGTGTGTGTGAGTGTATGTGTGACTTCATGTGCATTAATATCTGCACGTGGTGTGAGTTGAATGTTTCCTGATGAGGATGATGAGGATGAGGATGATGATGAGGTCTCACCTTTAGCTCCTCGCAGCACAAACCCGAAGCCTTCCTTCTCCTGCTTCTGTAAAGCCACTGTTTTCTGCTCGGTCACACAGTCGCTGTGGAGGAAATGACGCGCGTTATTCAAGCCCTTCATCATCATCCTCCTCCTCCTCATCCTCACCGCCGCGCGGTTCATCATGACAGATCATCTGTATCGATCACTCGATGTCTTCGGCGCTTTCACAGCTAAACTCACGAGCCTCCGGACCGACGACGTCTGACGCATGTGTCACAGACGCGCGTCATTTCTCTGTCGCGCCTCTTCAGCTGATCTGCGTTTACATAAGAGTGCAGCATCACTGCCAGGACCCCAGCAGCGCAGAGCATCTGATCTAGTCGTGTAGGAAGAGCTCTTGCTAGTCGACTAGTACTCTTCTGCCTTGTGTTAGACTTCCTTTTGACAAGACTGATAGTTAGGGTTATTATAAACACTGGTTTGTACTGCAAAAAGTTTTTTGAAAAATGTTTTGAAGATTTGAAAACTGCAATTGCAAATGTTTTATTGAAAGTGTGATTGATCTCTTAAATGCGATTAAGAAATCAAACTTCCATTTAAATGGGAAGTGTAGGAATAATAAGTGTTATTTTATTAATTACTTGCACAATGGATGCTTTTACAAGCCTGACTGTAAGCCCATGTCAGCTTTGTTCACGCACAGCTCATGATCTAACATAGTCTGCAAGCTGTGGATGAATCCATATCTCTGATCCACAGATCATTCCTGTACAGTTCCAAGTAACAGTAACAGCAGTTCCCACCGGGATGCTGTTTTTCAGCGGAAGAGTCCTGATTCTGCAGTGATTCTGTAGGGAAGAGTCATTTCTGCAGGTGAATTCAAGGCACACTGAATCTGTTGATCATCATAAATCCTCATGTGTCAATAATCCAGATCGCACAGGTACGTCTGTTAAAGATCTCTTCATCAGGAAAGCATCTGCTGTGTACACACCTCTGACAGACGTCTGTAAGATGTCAGATTTACATTCATTCTAAATCATAAACATCTTCAAGACATCTTCTAAACGTCTATTTGTCATCTGATAGGAAACGTCCTGTAGACGTATTGCAGATGTGCAAACATTCTAAAGAATACGTCTAGCAGATGTAACGCAGACGTGTCAGTGATGGACGTGTGCTATCAGGGAAGGCTTGTCAGTCGAGATGCATTTTAACGGTTTAATATAATATCAAGGTTTATTTCTGCGTAGACAGGACTTAATAAAATAAACATCCATTGAGGCAGTTTAAAGCCTAACACTACTTGCTGCAGCAACACATGCTCTCATAGACTATTGCCTTATTATATAAGCTCTGAAATATTCAAACAAGTTCATTATAATTGTCAAGATTTCAAAGACATATGTGTCCCTGCAGCACAAAAGCAGTGTTAAGTCGCTGGGGGATATTTGTAGCAATAGCCAACAATACATTGTATGGGTCACAATTATACATTTCTCTTTTATGCCAAAAATCATTAGGATATTAAGTAAAGATCATGTTCCATGAAGATATTTAGTAAATCTCCTACCATAAATATATCAAAACGTAATGTTTGATTAGTAATATGCATTGCTAAGAACTTCATTTGAACAACTTTAAAGATGATTTTCTCAATATTTAGATTTTTTTGCACCCTCAGATTCCAGATTTTCAAATATTGTCCTCTCCTAACAAACCATACATCAATGGAGAGCTTATTTATTCACATTTAAAGCCTGCTGTGCTTCATAATTTAAGGATGCATCTCCTGTCTGAGGATGTGTTTTTAATTAAAAAGCGAGTTCATTGCGTATAAAAACATAAAAACTTGAACTGAATTGATCTGAATAATGACTCTCTTGTCTTTTTTTAGAGCTGCTTTACAGCAGAGTTAGAATTGGTCTCATATTTGATGAAGTTTGCATGACTGACTTATTTCCGTGAAGCTGTACAGTGCAGTGACTTGAAGGTTTTCTGACAAGAACCGCTGTATGCTTTCAATCAGGTCCGGTCGAGGTCTTACCTGTCAATGCTGTCATAGGAACCAACAGTGAAATGTCTGAAGAGTTTTTTCCTGTCGCTGCGCTCCATTCTGCTCTCTGGTGAACAAATGACAGCATTATAACAGATCATCTTATGGTGAAGAGCATCATTACTGCCTTCAGTCAGCAGCCGCTGCTCATTGCACGCACTCGTTTGAGCTTACAGAAACTGGAAGCTTACACTTATTCATTTAGCAAAGGCTTTTAACTTCACAGGTGAAGAATAAAGACTGAGAATGAGACTGATGGAAACAGTCCTGTGATGGTCTCTCTCTCCACAGACACTTACTTGGTCTCTCTTTGTCAGGTTTGACAGGAATCTCTTCTAAACACCTGGCAGGGAACCAGCCCACCTGCCCTCGACAGCAGCCCTCCCAGTAACCGCCTTCACCAACGCTCAGAACTGCACCACACACAAGAAACAAGGCGACTGAAGGAAGGGAACATGGTCAGCTGAAAGGAGAAATGAGAAATTCACTGCGCTGACCTCTGACCCTTTCATTCTTGTGCAGGCTGATTTCTCCACCAGCTTGAGGTTGGTATGAGCGAACGACGACGAAATGACGGCCGGGGACAGCGCTGTACAGCTTTCTCCTGGAGCTCTGGCCACACGGCCTGCCATTGACACTGCAGGAGCAGAAACACATTCAGAACTCAGAACTGCACTGCAAGATTATACTCATATATATTCATAAACGTAAGTGGGTTAAATATACATAAAACATTCACATATATGACACATTACTGTCATTGAAGTCATGGAAGAGCTCCCTCTGCTGGAGGAAGGATAACATGACAATACCAGAAACATATGTTTGATATCAAAATAGTCAACAGAAAGTCTTCAAGAGAGATCAGCAAGCAGGAGATGAAGTGATGATAAAAATGTGCGGCGCTTACTGAATAATCATAGTTTTTCATGATGTTCTGTCAGACTTCAGCTGAGCAGCATAAATTCATAAAGCGTTAATACACCGAAGCAAAGGCAAAAATGTGAAAATGTAAAAATAATACCTGTCAGGGAAAGTTGTGACAGTAGGTATGGTGGGTTGAAACATTATTAGAAAGCATTTACGATAGCAGAAATTTTGTACGTGCATTGATTTCAATCAAATGATTTTGATAACCCCAGAAAAAAAACATATAAAATACATAAAAACACAACAATGGGTTAACAATTAAAACCAGTGTATGAGTCCATTATGCTGATGAATTAATCTTCTATAACATAAGCTAAAGCACACGTTTTCCTGGCCTTCATTTAGTTTGACCTGTGAACTGCAAAGATGTTTCTTTCCGTGTTCACATCAGAGCTACATATCTCCACAGCTGCGATATGTGCATTATAATTATTCTTCACTCCTCTGTCCCATTTTGTCAGATACACTATAAAATCCTTTAAAAATATTACAAAATGCAATAACTTTCTTCACATTTTATGGACTTGTCTTACATCTGATGGTCGTCTCATTAATATTTGAACAAATGAAGGCCGGGTTCATTCGTTGGTTGTATTTACTGGAGCTTCAGTCATGATTCACTGCTGCTGTACAGAGAGTACAAACAGCTTCACATCTGTTAAACGTGCATTGGATGGTAAATCAGTGAGATGGGCGCCTGATTGTCCTGTCCTGAAGATGAGTAAAGAACTGTTGCATCAGTTTTCTCTTATAATAATTAAGCCAAGGCTGATTAATTGAACTGAATGTGTTAACTGGATTAAATATTTAGCTACAGTCATATGTGTATGTACGCTCCTGTTTGGTGAACTCTACCGTTTCTGCTGCGTGCTCTGCTCGTCCTCCAGGCTGATGGACAGGGAACGGCTGCTCGGGACGGTCCTGCCGCCGCGGCCCGTCATCTTTCCCCGGCCGCTCGGGTCTCTCTGCATCTTCTGCGGGGACAGACTGAGCTGCTCTGGACTCACGGCTCGCGTCATCAGGTTATTGTCGCTGTTGGAGCGCAGCAGCACCCGAGACATAGAAAGATTGTTCTTCTGGAGAGGCCGTCGCTGTCTGGAGTTCAGCGGGACCTCGGGGAACCGCACTGACACACACACACACACAGACACACAGACACACAGACACATACACAGACACAGACACACAGACACACAGACACATACACAGACACAGACACAGACACAGACACACAGACACAGACACAGACACACACAGACACAGACACACAGACACAGACACAGACACACACAGACACAGACACACAGACACAGACACACACACAGACACACACACACACACGCACACAAACAAACGC